AGTCATTGCCCAATTGATAAATGGTCAAAGGATATGAACAGGCAATTTTCAGAAGAAGAAATCAAAACTATCTATAGTGATATGAAAAAGTGCTCTAAATCAATATTGATAGAGAAATGCAAATTAAAACAATTCTGAGGTACCACTTCATACCTATCAGATTGGCTAATGTGACAGAAAAGGAAAATGACAAATGTGGGAGTAGATGTGGAAAAATTCTGACACTAAAGCACAGTTGGTGGAGTTGTGAACTGATCCAACCATTCTGGAGAGAAATTTAGAACACTGTCTAAAGGGCTATAAAACTGTGCATACCCTTTTATCAGCAATACCACTACTAGGTCTATATCCCAAAGAGATTTTAAAAAAATGAAAAGGATCTATACGTACAAAAATATTTATAACAGCTCTTTTTGTGGTAGCAAAGAATTGGAAATTAAGGGGATGCCTATCAATTGGAGAATGGCTGAACAAGTTATGGTATATGATTGTGATGGAATGCTATTGCGCTATAAGAAATGATGAGCAGGATGCTTTCAAAAGACTTCTACGAACTGATGCTAAGTGAAGTGATCAGAACCAGGAGAACAATGTACACAGTAACAGTAGTATTGTATGATTATCAACCATAAATGACTTAGCTCTTCTCAGCAATACAATAATCCAAGACAATTCCAAAGGACTTATGACGAAAAATGCTAAACACTGCCAGAAAAAGGACTGATGGAATCTGAATGCAGATCAAAGCATATTTTTTAAACTTTATTTTTCTTGTTGGTTTTTTTTTGGGGGGGACTGTGGTCATCTGTGTTTTCTTTCACAACATCACTGTTATAGAATATGTTTTGCATGACTATATAACCTATATCAAGTTGCTTCCTTCTTAATGGAGGGAACGGAGGGGAGAGTGGGAGAGAATTCAGAACTCAAAATTTTAAAAAATGAATGTTTGAAGTTGTTTTTACATGTACTTGGAAAAAATAAAATATTTTTTAAAAAACCTGAGGGATGTTAAAACACACACACATAACAAGAAACTACTTTCTCCCTTTGATAACAATTTTACCACCCTGTGCCTACCTATGCTATAATTTATTTAGCTTTCTTCTTCTTCTTTTTTTTTTTTGGCTAGGCAATGGGGTTAAGTGACTTGCTTAGTCACATAGCTAGTAAGTGTTATATGTCTGAGGCCGGATTTGAACTCAGGTCCTCCTGACTCCAAGGCTGGTGCTCTATCCATTACACCACCTAGATGCCCCCACAGCTTACTTCTTTTACCTAAATATTTTCTAGTTCATAAATTTTGGGGGACTTAAATGCAAAGAGACCACATACTAACTAGAGATAAATAAAAATTAAAATTAAGGTACTCTGTCTGAATGTTAGGAATTTTCCTAAATGGGGGCTCTGAGCTATTGCAATTTTCTTCTGATATAAACTCCATTAAATAAAGAAAGGGACCAAATGGACCTCTGGGCCATTATATTGCTCATAGGCTAAAAAGTAAGCTAATTATTCTACCTGGGTATTCCTGATTAAATTGCCAGAGAGAAAAGGGACAGGGAGGATACTGTGGCCAGCTCTTCCCTCCAAAATCACCCAGATTCCCACAAGTACTGTGCTAGTTTTTCCCTCTAGAATGATACGAAACAAGCCTAATCCCTCTCCACTTATCTTAAAATTTTAGTTTTGGAGAAAACCTCTCAGCTAATCCTCCATAAAGAGGAACTTTTTTTTTTTTTTGCAAATAGGCCAGGAAACAACATCAGTTTTATTCATTTTTCCTTCAGGGTCACAAGAAGAGGTTGTGGACAAGCTGGTAGAATATTAGTAAACTAACTCTTGGTAATTATTTACTAAGTTATTTAGAACCAGAGTGGTGTAAGTGCACAGAGCATTGGATTTGGGTCAGAGAACCAATGTTCAAACCCCAGCTTTGCCATGTGACTTTGATGAAGTCACTTAACTTCATTCATGAGCCCAGCTATGCTCATGCTTGGAAAGTAGCAGGACAGAGTGAAAAAAGCTGTGGAATCAAAAGATTAGTGTTCAAACCCCAGCTTTGGCAGTTATTAACTGAAAGACTTTGGGCAAGTACTCCATCTTTAGGTCTCAGTTTCTTCATCTATAAAATGGAATCTAAAAACAATCTCTATATTCTCTCACACGAGACTATTTGTCTGTCTGTCTAGCTATCTCTACCTGTCTAGTGATTTGTAAAACTTACTGTAACTGTAATTGAACTAGAAGATCTCTAAGTCTCTTCCCAGCTCGGACATTCTATGATAATGTTATTATGAGCACCTCCCTCCCACCTCCATGGCCAAGACCACATTTTTCTACTTTGCCCAGTCCCCAACATCCTGCCCAGGGCTCTCTCAGTGAAAGTGCTCAATGAACATTTATTACTTGTTCTGCCTGAAAAGTTAGAATATTTTCCCTCTCCAGCTGTCCTCCTCAAGCTGATTCCAACCTCATTGACTAGGTTATTTGCCCTGAGTAGCAGGACAGAATCAATCATCACTCTATCAGGTGTTGGTTTGACAGTTCTCAAAGCTCTGGAATATCATTCAAGCCTCATAATGACAACACAAAGCCTGCCCTTTTCCCTTCCAAGCATCTGTCTGATACATGTAACTTCACTTCTCTGGCTGATAGTTCATTTTTGTTGAGTCAGTTTTCAGTTGTTTCTGACTCTTCGTGACTCCATTTGGGGTTTTCTTGACAAAGATACTGGAGTGGCTTGCCATTTCCTTCTCTAGCTCATTTTACAGATGAGGAAACTGAGGCAAATAGGGTTAAGTGACTTGTCTATGGTCACAGAGATAGTAAATGTCTGAGCCCGGATTTGAACTCATGAAGATGAGGCTTCCTGATTTCAAGCCCAGTGCTCAAACCACTTTGCCACTTAGCGGCCCTGCAACTATAATGATAGTCCATTATCTCTCCTCAATACCCATCTTTGGGGCTATTCAACCTATTTCTAATTAATTGGTAAAGTGACAGATTGAACAACAGCATAGCAGACAGGGATGCTACAGGTTGTAAGTCTAATCTACAATGAAAGCAATGTAATCAGGAAGGCCTAGGTTTAAATCCAGTCTGACACTTGCTAGCTGTTCAACAAGGGGTGAGTCATTAACCTCCCTAATTCTAATTTTCCTTATTTATAAAATAGAAACCAAAATACATGTGGTCCTTACCTCATAAGATTGCTGTAAAGTCTTGTGTAAATGTCAGTTATTGTTACTCTTTAAAAAAAACTTGGTATTTTATTTTCCCCCAGTTACGTGTAAAAACAATTTTTAACATTTGTTATTAAAACTTTGAGTTCCAAATTCTCTCCCTTCCTCCCTCTCCACTATCTTCATTGAGAAGGCAAGCAGTTCCATATAGGTTATATGTGTGTAGTGACGTAAAACCAATTTCCATATTAGTCTTATTGTGAAAGAAAACATAAAGAAAAAAACTCAAGAAAAATAAAGTTAAAAAGTATGTTTCAATCTGTATTCAGACACCATCAGCTTTTTTTGTCTGGGAATGGATAGAAATTTTTCATCACAGGTCCTTCAGAGTTGTCTTAGATCATTGTATTGCTGAGAATGGCTAAGTCATTTAGGGCTGATCATCTTACAATATTGCTGTTACTTTATACACAGTACATTTCACTTTTCATCAGTTCATGTAAGTCTTTCCACGTTTTTCTGAGAGCCTCCTGCTCATCATTTCTTATAGCACAATAGTATTCTATACAATCATGCAGCACAATCTGTTCAGCTGTTCCCCAATTGATGGGCATCCTCCCAATTCCCAACTCCCTGCTACCAGAAAAGAGCTGCTATAAATATTTTTGTACATATAGGTCCTTTTCCCTTCTGTTTTTGTGTACTTTTTTTTGTGAGGCAATTGGGGTTAAGTGACTTGCCCACAGTCACACAGCTAGTAAGTGTTATGTATCTGAAACTGGATTTGAACTCAGGTCCTCCTGACTCCAGGACCAGTGCTCTATCCACTGCACCATCTAGCTGCCCCTTGTTTTGTTTTTTAATCTCTTTTTGGATATAGACCTAGTAGTGGCATTGCTAGGTCAAAGGGTATACACAGTTTTATAGCCCTTTAGGCATAGTTCCAAATTGCTCTAAAGAATGATTGAATCAGTTCACAACTCCAACCAGTTACTGTTATTCTAAGGGGGAGACACTTACTATCTATTTACCTAAGGAACTTTGGGGACATTAACCAGGATTTTTTTTTAAATTCACTAAAATTAGGTGCTACAGAACTCTTACCTTTTAATATTCTCCCGTATTCTTCCCCCCAAAATGAAGGGTGCTCAGAGAAAATATCCAGACGATCAAGAACTTAGGAGTTCGAGACTAAAAAATAAGGAAGCAGCTTTCCCTAAGCTGTCTTATAAAAGCTTTCTTTTCGCTTTATAGTCATAAGCTACAGTGAGTGGGAAAACAGTGATTTACAGGAGTTGTATCATCTATGGAAGGCATATTTGGGCTGTATCGAAGTGCTTACATTTGGCAATTCAGGAAGACAGAAGAAACCCTAATTCAGAGTGGAGCAGTACACAGACAAATAATATAACATTTTTTGACTGATGAGGCCAACCCTCCAGAGAGCTCTGTTTCTCCTAACCCAAATCATCCAGAAATGTGTTGATTCAGAACCCCCAAAACCAAGTGGGTTACTTCAAGTCTTGGAGAACTCTAAAGTGGTACCCTGGCAGCTGCTATTGGGAATCTAGAAATATATTAACTCTTCACTTCCACCAGACAGGGCCTCACTTTAGGTCACTGACCTGTTGTTCAGGGGCTTCCCAAGCAGCTTTAGGTTGGTTTTTCTGTCTCTCTGGCCCTCCCCTGCAGGTTCTCCCAAAGGACTGGGAGAGGTGGGCGGAGTGCTGGCTGGTGTGACGCAGCTGTTAGGGGAGAGGGAGGGGTAATGTGGGGAGGGGGTGGGTGAGTCGGGCTTGGAGGGAGAAAGCGATGGAGAGACAGGCGCGCAGACACACGAGCGCGCACACAGACACAGAAAGCACCAGCTCTCGGGGTTCCGCTCTACACCATCCGCTTGCAGGGCTGCAGAACGCAGCTGCCTGAGCTCGGTGCACCCGGTGGCCCGCTGGCCGGAGGTGCGAGGTAGAGTAGGTAGGCTACGGCCCCCCGGAACCGGGAGAGTGCAGCGCAGAGAAGGAATTCTCCTATCCAGTCTACTCCAGGAGCCCCTACCTGAAGGAAGAAGGGACCAGAGGAGCGGAGCAAGAGGATTAACTACATTAGCGGAGCTGGCCAAGCGAAGGTGAAAACACAGCAAAGTGTGTATGTGTGCGCGCGTGCGTGTGTGTGCTGAATCTGTAGTTGTGAGAATGCTTTAAAGTGTTTGGATGTGTTGCTTTACATACCTTTGTATTTGTATTTGTGCGTGCGCGCGCCGGATCTGTAGTTGTGTAAGAGTGTCTCGGTGTGTTGCTTTACATACGTTTGTCTGTGTGTGTGCAGGATCTGTGGTTGGGTGAGAATGTTGTGTCTGAGTGTGCTGTTTTACATACGTTTGTATCTCTGTGTCCATTTGTGTGCTTAATCTGTGGTTGTTTGAGTGCAAAGAAGTGTCTGGGTGTGCTGCCTTGCGTTTCGAAGGGGTGTGTGTGTGTGTGTGTGTGTGTGTGTGGCGGGGTGTTGTGTGTCGTTTTGTCTTTATTGGGGGCTTCTGTGTAAATGAATGGCTGCGGAGTGTGTGTGTTGGGTCCTGGTTTTGAGTCTCTGTGTTGTAGCTGGGTATGCGGTGCCCAAGCATGAGTCCGATTGCCTGGGTACGTCTAGAGTATATTCACATTAGAAGACCTCCTCCCCTGACCCCCACACACAGCCTCTGTGACCTCCTCCAGGCAAGTATTCAGGTGGAATATGCTACAGGTGAAAACTTCTCTCCGAGCTTCCTCGGTGGTCCGAGTAGTTTAGGCGCAGCAGAGTCGGGGAAGGTAACCTGAGCTCCAACCCCAACGCAAACACATACGCACACACACCACCCCTTCGAAATGAAAGGGTTGACTTCTTAGGTCCCTTCCACTTATAGATGCTATGATCCCAGCCATCCCTGCCTGGTTTGGAGATGCCGGAAACTGGGAAGAACGTAGGTTGGGAGGAGAGAAGCGGACACCCTGCAGAAGTCGAAAAGGGGATTCACCCGTGTTGTTTCCCTCTCCCCTGTCCGTATCTCATACACCCACGTAGCTTTTGCCATAATCTCACAGCCCCTCTGCAACTACCTCTTTGGCTGGGCTTGCCTTGGTTTCCCCATACTCCCCATCCCTCTTCCTAGGGAGGTTGGGGATGCACGTAAGATAAATTCCTCCTTCATTCTTTCCCCTCCTGTCCTCACTCCCACCCAGGAAAGTCGCTGGGGTTATACGGTTGGGAAGCAACGTAAGGGTTAAGAGATGGAAGAAAGGAAGAGGTTTTTGTCTACTAATGGGGCGGGGGGGGGGGAGGGGCTGATCTTCTGTGTTGAACTCTTCCCAGCCACCCGTTCTTTTAGTCAGTGCTGGTCCTGCATTTCCTAGACTTTCTAGTGTCTTTAAGGGAAAGCAACTCTCAAGGTTCCTTAGCCGTTCATCTCCATTTCCCTTTCCCCACCTCCCATGCAGTCTCTCTTGCTCCTAGGAAGAGAACTGACGTACTTTGACGCTACCTTGGGGTGGAAGGTGGAGGTGGGATGATCAGAACACAGCCCCCTTACTCTCGGTACAATCCTTGCCGCAGAACCTAGAGGGAGCCACCAGTCACCCATTCTAGTGCCTAAAAAACCTTACACAGTTAAAAAAAAAATCTTCCATATATTTAATTTCAATTCAATTTAAAAAAAAAAGAATTGATTCAGCCACCTACCTTGCAACCAAGTCCATGCTGGATATTGTGGGAGGTAGAAGAGAGAAGTAGAAGGCATTGAACCTGTTTATAAGGGTCTTGAACCCTTCTTGAAAAAGAGTAATATAGCCAATGCAAGCTCATTTTTTTCTATGAGAGACTCAGGAATTGGATTTTTCATCTCTCTGCTCCCTCACCCCTACATATTGGAAACGACTCTAACCGCTCCCTTACCACTGCAGCCTTCCTCCAGTGTTTTTTTTTGTTTCAGTCCATTCCAGAAGGAAATGACTAAGGATCTCATACAATGTATTTCTTTACACCCAGCCTGAGAGAGGAGCAAACACTTTAGACCTTCTTATTGCTCTTTCTCCATCACTCTGACCATTGCCCCAGTTGTCCCATTAAGATATGAAAATGGAATCATTTATGTATATACTCTGAAAAGTAAGCTGGAGCTTGGTAGAGCATGTTGGTTGTTTAAGCACATTTAGGGATATGTCAAATCAGAGCTATAAATTGCAAGGAGAGACAAACAAATCAATACTAAAGTGGCATTAACCCAGGGAAGTAACCAGAGAAACAAAACAGCCATTTCCTTCCAGTTTCCTTCCCTGAAAACCACCTTTTCATCTTATTTTGAATTTGATGAAACTTTGAAAAAAATTAAGAATCTCCAAAGCATATTGCAAAAAGGCTCACTGGAAACCCAAACTACCACCCAAATGAAAATGTAGTGGTGATGCATGCACAGAGAGGTTAAGGAACATTTATGATATCACACAGCAAAGTGGGGGCTAATGGGGAAAGAGAACCCAAGTCCACTAGTTTCTAGATTCTGTTTATGTCCTTTCAGTCATATTCCCCTACCTAAGCTTTCGTAGTTATTCATGAATAAATATATCATTTACTTAAAATTCAAGTCTTAGAAAAACTGCCCCTCAGGTGAAATTTCACATATCTGTACTGTTATCATTGTCTTCTGGGCATGAAATCCATCCACATGGAAACTTATTTAATCCCAGCCAGAGTCTGTGGTCAAGTCCCTAATTTATCAGCCCATGTAGTTCTGCTCTTTGACTGATCCCATCTCTCATGAGTTTTTGTCATTCATTTTTCAGTCATTTCTAACTCTTTATGACCCCATTTGGAGTGCCATTTCTTTTTCCAGCTCATTTGACAGATGAGGAAACTGAGGCAAACAGGGTTAAGTGACTTGCCCAGGGTCATCCAGCTAGTAAGTGTCTGAGGCCAGTTTTGAACTCATGAAGATAAGCGTTCCTGCCTTCAGGCCCTCTGTTGTGCCACCTATCTGCCCCACCTCTCACAAAACACAGTTACTATTGCTCTTTTTCATTGAGGAAGGAGAGACTCAATCTATTACATTACTATGATTTGCCCAGGGTCACAGGCACAATTCAAAGCCGGTTCAAAGGTCTCAGATCTTCACACCACATCACACTGTCTCTTCAGCATGAAGGCTAGGATTCATGCCTTCTGATTTCCAGTTCATTTCAAGTATACCACACTAGAAGAGGGGGCAGTTAGGTGGCACAGTGGATAGAGTACATGGACCTGGAATTAAGAAGATGTGAATTTAAATTTGGCCTCAGCCACTTACTAGCTGTGTGACTTTGGGCAGGTCACTTAACTCTGCCTCAGTTTCCTCATCTGTAAAATGAACTGGGGAATGAAATGGTAAACCATTTTAATATCTTTGCCAAGAAAACCTTACACGGGGTCATGAGAAGAGTCAGACATGACTGAAAACAACTGAACAACAACATACCAGAAGAGAGTAAGTACTGTAGCAGAAAGAATACTGGATTTGGAGTCAGAAGGCCTGGGTTCATCTCTTAGCTCTTCCCCTTACTGCCGATGAGGCCTTGGGCAAGTCACTTAGTATTTCCAGGCTTTAATTTCCCTTATTTATAAAACAATGAGTTAGTGGATGAGATCACTTCTGAGGTTCCAGCCAGTGCTAAATTTATGATCCTATAAATAGAGAAATAAAGACAATGAGACCAATCGCCCCCTCCCCCCAAAAAAACCAACCCAACATACCAATTTTTTTAAATGTGAAGAAAGCTAAAACGTTCATGAAAGTTATAAAAGCAGATTCACAACGTAATCAGGTCTAGAGAAATGCAAACAAGCCAAAATAATGAATTACTGTTCAATAATTATTATTTAATAGGGTCTCCCAAGTAGTCATTCAGGTCAATCTGGCTTTCCTTACTGAAAGAAGGCTGAGACTCTGTGACCTATGCCCTTCAGATCAGGGAGTTGACATTTTGTCCAAGTTTTGTGAATTTCTATGGCACAGGCTTTTTTTTTTCAATCATGTCTGACTCCTCTCAAGATCCCGTTTGGGGTTTCCTTGGTAAAGATACGAGAGTACTTTGTCATTTCCTTCTCCATCACATTTTACAGATGAGGACACTGAGGCAAACAGGGTGAAGTGACTTGGCCAGAGTCACATAGCTGGTAAGTGTCTGAGGCCAGATTTGAATCCAGGAGGAGAAGTCTTCCTGACTTTAGGCCCCGACACTCTATCCACTGTGCCACCTAGCTGCCCATAGGCCTATTAGCTTCACACAAATAAAAGCACTTTTGTGTAATTATATTATTGGTTACACATGAAATGGGGCAAGAAAGTATAGGTGCCTCAACAAACACCCCCACCTCCACCCTCCCCGGACTTCATTATCAACTCGAAATCAACTGCCACCTCTGGTAGCTCTGGAGTATTATCTTTATTATTCAAGGGATAATTTTTTTCTATTGAAGTATCTTACATAAATACTTAGAATAATGGTACAACCACATGATAAGAACTTCATAATAATAATCGATAACATTTATATGGCATCTACTACGTGCCAGGCACTGTGTTAAGTGCTTTGCAAATTTATCTCATTTGATCCTCCTAACAACCCAGGGATGTGAGATACTATTATTATCCTCATTTTGTAAATGAAGAAACTGAGGCAAATAGTGATTAATTGACTTGCCACACAGCTATAAGTGTCTAAGGCTGGATTTAAACTCAGGTCTTCCAGACTTCAGGTCCAGCAGTCTATCCACTGTACCAGAAATAAATAGCCATCCGCTGACGGGTCAGTTTTCCTTTTCCTTTCTAGATGCTACGATTTGTCTTTTGCCTCCAGGATCCTCTAAGGTGAAAACTGGTTCACTTCAAGCTCTTTGAACTGGTTAAGGGCAGCCCATTGTTACAAAGCAGCCATGGATCTGGAGTTTGAGCTACCCAATGGGAGTCGAATATGGTCACCCCCTTTTTTTGACCCTAATGGGTCAATGGCATCTGCCAACAGCTCAAACAAAACAGAGACATACTATGACCAGACTAGCAATGCCATTCTCACCTTCATCTACTTTTTGGTCTGTATCATTGGGTTGTGTGGTAACACACTGGTCATTTATGTCATCCTCCGTTATGCTAAGATGAAGACCATCACCAACATCTACATCCTTAACCTGGCCATTGCTGATGAGCTCTTCATGCTGGGTCTGCCCTTCTTGGCCATGCAAGTTGCCTTGGTCCACTGGCCCTTTGGCAAGGCCATTTGCCGAGTGGTTATGACTGTAGATGGCATCAACCAGTTCACCAGCATCTTCTGCTTGACTGTTATGAGCATCGATCGTTACCTGGCTGTGGTCCACCCCATTAAGTCAGCCAAGTGGAGGAGACCCCAGACAGCCAAGATGATTAATGTGGCTGTGTGGGGACTCTCCCTACTGGTCATCTTGCCGATCATGATATATGCTGGTCTCAGGAACAACCAAGGTGGGAGAAGCAGCTGCACCATCAACTGGCCAGGTGAATCTGGGGCGTGGTACACAGGGTTCATCATCTACACCTTCATCTTGGGATTCCTAGTGCCCCTCACAATCATTTGCCTTTGCTACCTGTTTATCATTATCAAGGTCAAGTCCTCTGGAATCCGAGTAGGCTCTTCAAAGAGGAAAAAGTCGGAGAAGAAGGTCACCCGCATGGTATCAATAGTGGTAGCTGTCTTTATCTTTTGTTGGCTTCCCTTCTATATATTCAATGTTTCTTCAGTCTCGGTTGCCATCATGCCCACTCCAGCCCTCAAGGGCATGTTTGACTTTGTGGTGGTACTTACCTATGCCAATAGCTGTGCCAACCCCATTCTATATGCTTTCTTGTCTGACAACTTCAAGAAAAGCTTCCAGAATGTCCTCTGTCTGGTCAAGGCGAGTGGCACAGATGATGGGGAGAGGAGTGACAGTAAGCAAGACAAGTCTCGACTCAATGAGACCACAGAGACCCAGAGAACTCTCCTCAATGGAGACCTCCAGACCAGCATCTGAACCTTCTCTAAGAAACTTCTATGTTTATACCCATTGGCTATATTCTTTTTTCCAATCTATTGCAGCCTTGTCCTGGAGAAAGAAGACAGTTGTTCTGGGGGAATTCTAATGAGAGAACAGTATTTGAACTTGCTTGTCCGAGTACATGGTAACAATACACTAAATTTGTTACCTCCTCACTTAAAGTGAACAATTAGAATGCAGGAAGGCTGTTCAAAGTGGGTGGAGAGAAAAGGATTTTACTTGGGTATGATTTCCAGGAATGCGGAGCGAGACTCATCAAGAATAGAGATCTGTAACTGTGTTTGTCTTTCAAATATGTTAATGTGATCACGTATTATTATATGAGTATTTGCATCCTACAAATTTATATCCATATTTGTAGCTATTCCCTTTATAGTTATTGCCTCAATTCCTTGTGTTTGTGTATACATGCTTCCCATAGACAATCGTATGTAATCTAGATGGATGTTGAGTGCAGAAACGTACACAGATATGTAATACTTTGCTGAGTTCAGGCAAATAATTTTTAAGCCTGAGGAATGGAAAAGCAAAAAGCTTTTGAAGAATCAGAACATATATTCACATGTTCTGTCTGACATACTCTACGGATTATTTATTTATTCAAGTGAATTGAAGCAGTAGTGATTGTTGATTATTGTATTTATCGAGACAAACTCATCTTTGCTAGAGTACTGTATTTCTCCATTTTAAATTGCTTTAATTTAGGGAACTGGGATTGAGGGTGGGGTGGGGGTGGACATTATAAAGCAAATTTTAAAATGGATCATGATTCTTATGGAGATCACTTTTATTGTCCCTACAGTGGAAACTAATAAAAAATGAAGTAAAGAACAACACACATTAGAAAAAAAATGAAATTGTCACAACAGCCAGAGATGGTAGTTATATTGATAGATGGATGCATAGAGTGTTAATTAAGTGCTATGTGCCAATCACTGTGCTAAGCATAGGAGTTAAAAATACAAACAAGCAAAACAGTTCCTGTCCTCAAAGATCTTACATTCTAATGAGGGAGAACAATCCATACAGGGGTGCTGGAAAGGGTTGGGGTAGGAGAAAGGCTATGGACACAGTAGCATGGTTTGGAGCTGGTGGCTGGGAAATGAGGGACGTGACCGGGTCCGGGCAAGATACGGTGTCAGAGTCGTAGGTGGTTACAGGGATTCATTCTGAGGTTCCTGTGGGCATGATGGCCAGAGTATAGTCAACATGGTTTGGAGCTGGAAGTAATTTGACTTCTTAATGAAAAGAAATGGAAATGGAATCAAGGGTCTCTTCAAAGGAGTTTTTAAAGCACATCATGAAAAGCAAATGATCCTTTTAATGCACACTGATGGCTCAGTATCACTATGTTCATAGCTCACCACCCTACACCAACCAATAGATCTGAATTTACTCTGTATGTGTGTATTCATAGAGGGCAAGGTATCACTTCCACCAGCACCTTTCCCACCAGAAATATATAGGCCATTTAACCAACCCTATAAAAATGCTGGTCTCTGATATTATCAGTGGTATTTGGTGCTCCTAAAATTATGTCTGGCCTTCTCCTCTACAGAAGATAATGAGAACAGACAACGCACACTTCATAGGACATTAACATTTTCCTGGATGTTAAGAAATATACTTCTAGGTGTGTGTCATTATTTCTGGGAATTATTCAATAAGAACTTTATAGATGTATGTATATATGGACCCTACCAAACAGCAGCACACTGATTGTATATTAGGCAAGAATTCTCCAAGACTCATGACTATCTCTCAGGCCCCGTGTTGCCCCTATCTAATGAGTATTTCTCACATTTGTCATTTTAGAACTAAGACATTGTTGTTGTTCAGTCAATCGGTTGTGTCTGACTCTACATGACCCCATGGAGAGAAATGTCCACGGGGTTTTCTTGGCAAAGATACTGGAGCAGTTTGCTATTTCATTTTCCAGTGGATCCTTTTGTCAGGCAATCAGAAGTTAAGTGACCTCCCCAGGGTCACACAACTAGGAAGTATCTGAGGTTGGATTTGAATTCAGGTCTTCCCGACTCCAGGCCTAGTGCTGTATTTGCTGAGCCACCAGCTGCCTCAAAAATTAAGACATGGGCACCTTCAAATTAATTCCCTAACTTCTCAAACATTGCACCATCATTCTTTTATCATTTCAGAGTTAATAATCTGCTTTGTGGATGCTCTAATGGCATAATTTTGATTCAGGGATGACTTTCCACTATGACTCAGTATGCTCCCTGGCTGTTTTACCATTCAGCATTAGAAATGCAAACTAATTTAAATGTTAATCTTGACTCAACAAAATTAGGAAAGTATAACTGCCTTTTAAAAATTACAGTGCATTCTAAAGCCAAATGTAAGTGATTTCTTTTGATTATATGGTTGTTTAGATTACACAGGACACATTAAGTCTCTTCCACAAGCATGGATGATGATGAGACTAAGACTGGTGGATCACTTGAGCTCTGGAATTCTGAACAGCAAGTAAGTCTAAAGCTGATCTGATCTCTGCACTAAATATGGTACCTATTACATAGTGAGCTTCCAGGAGACAGGGGCCACCAGGCTGCCTAAGGAGTAGTGAAATAGTTTAGGTCAGAAACAGAATACATGAAAGCTTCCATGCCAATTAGCAGTAATATCGGGTCTATAAATGACCCCTTTGCTTCTACCTTACACATGATGGAGAGACCCCAGTCTCAAAAAAATACAAAAAAATTATGCATGGATGATTTATTTAGAGATGATTTATATCTAAGTACATTAAAAATTTGAGTTTTGATGAAATAGAATGTGGACAAGTAGCCTAATTTTATAGCCTATCTTGGATAGGTGCTATTCTGTGATTCAGGAGTCCAGAAAGTAGCAAATACAGGAGTCAGTATTGAAATTACCACAGAGTTCACATCATCAATTTGAATTGTCACCAAAACATGCTAAGAACGTTTCTAGGAGACAAGTGCACACGCACAGAGGAAGATGAACAGCCATTAATGGTGGCCACTGGATTACGGTACTGTCCACAATGCCAGCAGAATGGAATGCTTGCTGTTTCTTTGGAGTTAATTGTTCTGTACAACCCAGCCAGGAACATTAGCAGTTTTTTGTCAGGTGGACCAAGATGTAAGCTGCTGTCTACTTACAGATCCCCAAATAACTCCACTTATCTCTATTCAATCAACAGTGTATTACTAAACAAGATAGCCTTATAACTTGAAAGGAGGCTTCAGTAGCTCAAGAAGGGTTCTGCAGGGGCAGCTAGGTGGCTCAGTGGATATAGCACCAGCCTTGAAGTCAGGAGGACCTGAGTTCAAATCCGGCCTCAAACCAAACACTTGACATTTACTAGTTGTGTGACCCTGGGCAAGTCACTTAACCCCAATTGCCTAAAAATTAAAAAAAGAAAAAAAAAGAAAGGTTCTGCAGACAGTCTTTATTCAACTGAGTTCTGGAGGAGCTATAACTTCTGAAGAAGTCCTATTCTGTACAACTAAGGTAAAGATACTTGGGATACTCGGGAGACATTCAAGCTGAATACCATGGACAGATTACTTAACCTCTCTTGAGTTGTAGTCTCCTAATCTGTAAAATAGGGATAATAATAGCTAACATTTATATAGCACCTTAGAGTTTGCAAAGTGCTTCATAAATATCTCACTTGAGCCTTATAACAACCCTAGGAGGTAGGTACTATTATTATAGTCCCAATTTTACAGATGAGCAAACTGAAGTAGAGAGAGGTTAAGTAACTTCCTTGTAGTCAGACAGCTAGTAAGTATCTGAGGTCAAGTTTGAACTCGGGTCTTCTTGGCTCCAAGGCCAGTATTCAATCCATTGCACCACCTGTGCTATCTACCTCACAAGGTTATTTCAAGAATAATGCTTTGTCATCTTTATAAAAGTGTTATATAAATATGAATCATTAGTATTGTGAGGAAGAACAAGAGGGAACAGAAAATCAGAGCAAATATGGAATATATCCAGAGTTTCCCAAGCAGCGTTGATCTCATTAGACCTTTGGCCTAAACCAGGCTTTGAACATCAGCAAAATATTTTTGAGACTCCAGGGGGTATGAATTCCTTCTATGTTTTAATCATAATGACATAATTTAATTTTTTTTCTAGGCTTTTCATATCCTTCAGTGATATTCTTCTAGGCCACAGCAAAAGAAAAAAAAACAGTATGAAACAGGAAAAGAATACAAGTAATTTTCATAAAAGAAAGAAAATGCCCCCTTGAGGCCAATACCTGGAAAACTCAATATCTAGGTCTTGGCATATAACTGGCCACTTGGTTTATCCACATTTTTCATCAGAACATTGAATTATCAAGGATCACAAACAGAAGCCCCTACAGAAGGCCAACTTTGGGGACAAACCTAGGCCAGAGGTTAGAGAGAGGTTTTTTGGCTACCAAAGGGAAGCTGAGGTCAAACTCCCACAAGGTGTGCCTAGAAGGCTTTTTCAACCAGAAAGTAGGCCATGTGTGTTTCATTCAACAAATACTTATTAAGAGCGCGCTATGTTTCAGACACGTATGGGTGCAATGACAAAAAATTAAAATGGACCCTGCCCTCAGGGAGTTTATATTCTCTTTCTTTGTCAGTAATTTTTTTAAAGAGTAGTCTGTATCACCTTTTCTACGCTTCAATACGGAGCCTAGAACAACATTTCAAGGAATATAGGCTTCCTTTCTCCCCTATTCACCCTCCCCCTAAACCTGTCAGTGACTGAAAGCTGGCAGATATCCAAGGAAAGAAACTAGGTTATCTCAGATATTATGTATCTGGGTTATGCTTAAGAAGCAGAGGTAAATATTAACCAAGGCTTAGTGACAGTAGAATAAAAAACATTATTGATAGCCCTGGGATTAAAAATGAGGATAATAGCATTAAAATGAAATGTTGCATCTTGATCACTGGGCTCCAGAAGAAATCTGTCTTCCATTGAAGAATGTTTCCAACAGGAGAGAGCTAATAGCTGCATCTGATGAACTTTAGGAGACTGGAAGAGTTGGGAGAAGGGAGGGGAAATGTAGGAAAGACTATTTTTAAATTTAAAACATATTTTAAAGAGAAAACTGATATCGCAGCTGTTGGACTTTAAGGTGACTGGGGAGTTGGGAGAAGGGGAGGAGATATGGTAAAGGTTATTTTTTAATTAAAAAAATTTTTTAATCAAGTAGGTCTGGCATTGCCCAGAAGTTAATTTCATTTTAATATTCTGCTTTTAGAACATGATTGTTATAGGTTCTTTAAGTCCTCATTTAGCTTAGGATATGAGAGGAGATCAGGGTCCCCTCTGCTTAGAAACCAATGAGTGACTCTGTGGAAGCTGGCTCAACCTTCAGTCCTCACTACATCAATTCAATTCCACAATCATTTATTAATTGCCTATTATTCCAGGCATCACCTGCTTTAAATGTAAGGAGAGAACCAAAGTGGGAATACTCTGTATAGAATTTCATTTCAAAATGGAAGGGTACCAGATGCTCCTGAAAAGAAGACAGAATGGCAGCCTATCTCATTCATTCAACCCAGGATGGTTCCAGTTATCTCATAAGCAGAGGGTGGTGGCCAATATGTAGTAGGGTTAGAAATAAGGAAGGACAAAGAGAGGGCCAAGCCTAAATACAACCGTAGGGTAGTCAGCTGGAATGTCAGATATTGATGTTCAAACCTAAAGCTTCTCAGAAAAGGTGTTGACAAAAGGCCAAGGGGAGAAACACTGAAGGGGAAATGTAAAGAGGGAGCCTATTATCATTTACTAAAGCTGCTTTCCCCAAACTCGGCAGAGGTCAGAAGACCTATGTGACACAGGGCAAGTTGCTTTACCTCAGTTTCCTTGTCTGTAAAATAAGAGAGTAGATGATCTCTAATATCCCTCCCAGCTTCTTTCTCTACCTTACAGCCCTTCTGTTGAAGACAGAAGGACTTCAGTGAGCCAAGATCAATTGCTTTGTTGAAATCCCCCTAAGTCATTTTTAAACACAGTTCCCAAAATTTCTTACCATATTTCTAAAACATGGCACAGGCTGAAACCCACATCCCAGGATACACAAGTAACAGTCTTATAAGAGTCTGAAGCATGACATCAAACAGTTTGCAGAGAAGGAAAAAAGGGGAAAAAAAGTTTTCACTTCCTAATGGTTTCACAGCTCTATAGAGAAAGTAGAAAGTGCGTAGGACTGAGTGAATAAATCTGGAAAATCCCAGCTCTGTTGCAAATTATGTGACTTTGGGCAATTTACTTCATCTCTACGCCTCATCTTTTTCTTCCTCTATAAAATAAG